AATATATATATATATATATATATATATATAGTGTGTGTGTGTGTGTGTGTGTGTGTGTGTGTATATATATATATATATATGTGTGTGTGTATGTATGTATGTATGTATATGTATATATTAATATAACTATGTATATATGTATATCACTATGTACAAGACATATATAACTATCTATATGTGTTTGACTGATACAAGAATTTAAATATGTATAGATGTATAAAACTATGTAAAAGTATTCAAGTAAGTTGTAACTATGCATAGTAGTTTTTTATACGTAAATATATCTAAAGAGATTCTTATATACGATCTACATAACGTTTGTATTTCACAAAACTTCATTGATATGTGCTTAAAGGTAGTTGTACCCCTCACAGACTAGTTATATTGTTAAATGCATGCATTTGTCGACAACCAAGGGTACAAGAATCTCTATATGCAAACATCTACTTATATCAAATCACTAGTTTGAGCATGAGATTGTCAAATCGCAGTATAGTTACCAGCACAGCTCGTACCTTCTTTGGTTTCTTTGCTGTAGAAGTGTGCTACAGAAGTTTCTAAATAGGTATGTCAAGCTATTCCATTTCTTTCAAACTTGCGGTCACATACCAGTTGAGATGATTTCCATGTCCACCATGTGCTCTACGAATTGAACCACGATGCCAAAGAGGCAAGCTATCGCCAGATGGATTACAACGTATTTACCCCGCGCTTTCAATATAGGCTTGTTTGCGTTCTTTAGCGCAAACACAAAATTGGGCAACACTATGAGAACGGTGAGTAGACTTGCAGTCAGGGATGAAAACAGGGTCAATCTTTCCTTTTCGGGCCACTCGTGTTCGTAAGCTACAATTTCTAGCACCAATAGCGGTAGATTAATGAGTAGCACTAGTGGCAACCATGCACAATAATACAACACATGTGTAAGTCGGAAATATTGTGCTGGTGTAAATGTTCGTGAATGTTTCTCGAGCTCGTCAATACTGTCGCAAGCAGTGTTTACAGCTGGTGCTTTACGATATCTAGGTGTTAATGAATTCCCCGGCTCGGATGAGGCTAACTTTTGTGCGCATATATCCAAACTTCTCCCATTATTAGACTTGTCTTCGGTGAGTGAGGTGTGCTTGGGGTCTACTTGTACTGACGTTCGCACAGGTACCTGGTCGACCATCCCGACGGTCAATACGTTTTCCATGCTACTATCGCTGACATCTTGTGCAAATCCTGAAATTCCCATGTCAGATGCTGCACCAACCTCTGTGCCTCCAAGGCAGCCTTTCACATTAATTGGAGTAGGATGAGCTTGAACCATAATGTCATATTAACATGGTCAATGAAGTGCAACCAGCGAGAATCGTCACTGTGATTATTGTTACTGTTCACTGTTTTCGTAACTTGATTCTTGTTAGACTGATCAATGTTGCAACACACGCCTGTGCTCTTACAAAGGAACAAGTGTGCTACTAGAGAGAGAGAAAGCCATATTTATCATTGCAAGAAAACAGCTGTTGGTTTATTCGAAATTATAACATACGGACCAGGACAACATAAAAGATATAAAAAGGCCTCTTTGTGGTTGGAGTCATAATATATTGTAATGTCTTAAATAAAATCGTTGTTGCACAGAGACGAACTTTTACAGAATTTTCATTGGTTGTTTGATGGTGACAAATCAGTAGTTGGCTGACGCTCACGCCCGAGTCCAGAGTCCCACCGCCTCTAAATATATTTCTTATTTAATTTGTTTGTTGTGTTGAGTGTTTGTATGTATGTATTTATTTATTTTAAAAAATAGTAAAAAAAACAAATGAAACGCTATTTATGATTCAACCAGTGAAAATTGAACAAGAAGGGATCAAATATATGTATATAGAAATTCGTGTTTGAAAATCGGGTTGTGTCACGAAATATTTACTCACTTCGCTGAGTTCACTCACTCGTGCCCTGTGCATTTGCTGGGAAAGAATTTATTTCTAAAAATACATTTTCGGGGGGGCGAAAGAATAAGTCAATAAGATATGTATTTATGTAGAAATTCTTTCAGCGCCACAGCCGCCCATCAGGCCTCAAAAAGTGATCACTCTCATCACTCATCAGTGATCAAGATTCAGGCCCTCAGGCCTCAGCTCGGCCCTCGGCCTCGGCCCACTTGAGTCTTGGCAGTGGACGCACTGGACGGTGGCAGTTGCTGTTGGCACTTATCACTTCGGCTCAATATTTCTTCCTTTTTTTAGTAGTATATAGCATAGCCTTCTGAATTATACAGCTATGTATATAGTAATGACGGACATGGACCTGTACAACGGAACCGATTCAGCCCTTTACCCGTCACTGAGGCATGGACTGATAGTTCAGAGCCCGTATACATGGACTAACCATTCCTACTACAGTAGCTCACTGGGGCCGGGCACTGGATCCTGTCCAGCTCTTGTACACTAGTCCGTATATGTGTCAGAACATCTAGCATATTGCTTCAATAGTAAACTATGTGCTGTATAGAGTCTACTACAACTCTTTAGCTACATATGCTAGACTCTTTGTAAAGAAGAAGAAGATAAAATCCCTTTTGCGATCTGATTCCACTGACCCAAATATACAACCAATAACTCGGATTATAGATAGTACTGAATCTCTCTCCAGGTTGATTTATATATGGTTTCCTAACACGAATGCTAGTCAGAACCATGACCATAGTTGCTCTCGTCATGGTTCAACTGTAATCTACTATGGTATACGTAACTGACCTGTTCTTTCTTTCTTTCTTGAAGTAATTGAATAAAAAGGAAACTGATAAGAATAGCATAAAGCTAACTTCGGGTGCTATAGAAACAGTGTTTTGTCAACACCGGCCCGAATTGACTCAGCACATATCTTCCATTGTCGACTCACTTGGCCCAAGCTTCAAACGGGAATTTACTGACCACTTCTTCCCATCAATCTTTCCTGAACCACTACAGCGACTATGAGAGCCATGCCATATGTTCATTGTATCATACATACTTGCCATTTTTGAAATAAATAATATTATTCCTATAGAAATCGCACAATTCTTGAAACATTTTGAACAGCCGGTCACATCTAGACAATCAAACTGGTTGCCGAACTGTGTACAGAATGCTCGGCCATTGTTTGAGGAAGTGCAATATATGAAACTGAGCATATGGCTGAATGCTTAGAGGGAGGACGTGTAATTCAACGCTGGCCTCAAGCGTCTTTCAAAATCCCAGCCCAGTATGGTCTACAGCTTTCGGCGCCGTGATACCCGATACAAACACAATACACACTTAAATAGACTGTGTTTAAATGTAATGCCGTGCGACTATGGGGTACATGGCATTTTAGCTCAAGCAGACACTGACATAGCAAACCCAAGTGAACAACACGGCCCCAGTGATTCCACTGAAAGAACTACCACAGATACACACCTTAGTCAGACCCACGACTCTCGAGTATTCAGGGCTCCAAATATTGTACTCCTAGACAGTAGAACTGTCTGTACCGGTACTGTATAAACGTGCAGCAACAGATGGTAAAATATAATTAGTCCACTGGTCGCAGGTTATAGTGTTGAGATCTTGATGGCGTGGCAAAACCAATCTGCTGCCACAATTATGCACACGTGTTGTTCATCTATTCTCTCGCAGGATGTAAGAGCAACAGGCCAGCTATTTCGGACCCTAGCAGTGCCCCTCATACCCCTCACAGGAGTGGACAGACCGGCAATCACGAGGTCCGGGTATATGTTGAAACTCTCGAGGGCACTAGCTTGCTTAAGGACGACTTTGTACTCACACCTACAGGCCACTTGCTCGCACATTCAGTAACATATCACAGGAATATATATGTTCACTAGCGGAATTACTGATTCCCTCTCACGGTCATATATGCCCTATATTGGCTGCCATGTGAATCATTCTTGGGTCTGTCTATTCCAGCACAGCATACTCCATAGTGGGGTAACCAATAACTTCCCAAGTAACCAAACTCAATGTCTGGGAGACCTTGAAATGTATTGTTTAATATATTTCGCAGGATTTATGCCGAGAAACAAGGGTGTTTGAACACCGGGCGCTGTGCCCACTTGATAGCTCTTTGGAATACTCTTTGTAGTAAATAAGGTCAATGACTAAACCGATCAACATGGTATAGTATTAAGTTGATAGGTTTAATCATTTTCTTTATTCACTACAAATAGCCGGAAAGGTCGAGAGTTTGAATCGTGTTACAACACCTTTTTGTGGATAAAGTTTGTGATGGAGCTCCAATTAAAAAGCATCGCAGAACGGATGTTTTATTGACCTGTAATCTTTTAACAACGCATTATGATGCGCAGCAAACATTTAAGTATGTAGTACAAATAACTTTTGGGCGTGCTCAGACTATCGTGGATTATATTAACAATCGATGGCTAAGAGCATTCATTCAGACGTATTGAAGTATGGAACAAATGGTGTAAGTGTTTAATATCGAGTAAAATTTGATATTGTATGTACCATGCCACCTACTGTTCAATAGTGGAGAGTCTGGCTAAATTTATTTTACTATACAATCTAAGAGACGGGTGATCACACACAGTGTAACAGCTGTAACATAAGTCTTTTTTAAAATGAGACTACAGCTAGAAGCACTTGCTTTGCTGTTTGATAATCCGACTGTGAGGTATTTCTTGCTCTACGAAAGAAGTGTACTTATAGAGGTTTACTGTTTATAGCATGATATAGGGCGCGATCAAATTCCGAATTAAGATTCGCAGTCAGGGCACTGTATTTACTGTTATGCTTGTCAGTCAGTATTTGCAACCGTTCCACATAAACAATGAATTTATCTCACTGGTACAAATCTGATAGAATGTGATGTATTGATATGTCTACGCATATGTATCACAAGTGGTCTGCACGCAGATATAGGCGTTACACTGGGAGTCTACGTGCACGTACATCTGCCCTAAGCGTACATACAGGCGGTCTACACGCATGTACAGCTTGCATACATACCCACATGTTCAGCTGACATAAGCGCACACACATGTGGACTACGCATGTTAGTGTGCAGTGTAGTAGACTTTAAATAAAGTGCAAATGTAGATATTTATTTCTGACCTCACCTTTAGTTTATACCAAAGGTGTTTGTGCTAGTGTTCAACCGCTTGGGCTGGCCAGGGTAAAACCTCATATGGTCAGTATGAGAAACCTTATGCAGAACATTTTAACACTTCGATGCTTTTCTATTTCAACTTCTCTGCAACTAAATTTCACGCTGATCACATGATGCCTTTCCGCATAGGTCGTGACTCACATAGAACCGCAGCTATTATTAAAATGTTGTGGTTGACAGGCTTAATCCACTCTCGGGAATCGGTTGAGAAACTTAATCTGCTCTTGGATGTCGGTTAAGTAATAACTCAACCCTTGGGAGTAATATAAGCAACTCGATTAGTTCTCGGGAGTGAGCTAACTCTGATGACTTAGCTCTCGGGAGTGAGCTAGCTCTGATGACTTCCATAAATCAAAGATGGTTTCTTGCTGTATAATCTGGCCTGAAACCTGTAGTCTCTCAACGCAGATACAGCTGACATTTTGTGGACGACCCGCATGTACAGTTGGCATAAGCGTACATACAGGTGGTCTAAGCCAGCATGTGTACAGCTGCCAGAAGGACACTCACTAATCGAGGTGTGTTGCCGATAACATACGCGTGTACACAGTTGGTCGATATGGCGGGTTCCTAATTGTAGAAGCACATGTTAATGTAGACCTGAAACTCTGAAATAAGTGAAACGTGAAGGCAGTTATTTGCAATAATCAAACCAATCCAACTTTGGATATGTGAAAATGCAATAGTACACTTTAGATTGCGGAGACTCCATAGTATACACTAGGTGATTTTTCTTGAAATAGTAGCTTTCCACTCAACATTAAAATATATACAAGTGAGGGTCTCATCAGGCACAAATCGAGACTTGATATTTTTTTATTTGCTCACAGAGCAAGAGAGTTTACTGTTAAATAAAACATGTTCAGTCTTCCTAGCCAGCAAGCTAGATGTGCTCGTGCACGCCTTAAATGAGATTGAGAGCTAGATATCAAGTGATGAGGTTCTAGGTGCAATGGAAGTACTGCACCAGCTTGTTGTTTTGATTTTTATATTTCTATTCCTTTGAAGTTGAATATAGAATTTTTATTTAAAAACAATTCTAAATGAAGCATGAATGTGACCAATCGAAACGAATCCGATCTTAGTTGTTGGCACCTGAAACCTATATAGACCGAAGAAATAAGTGATCGGAGCGGAACTATATAGACAAAAGTCACAGTCTTGTATCTCCTGATCTTGAGCTCACTACCGAGGGCTGAAGCTAAACACGACTTCATTTTGCAATTTTGTAAAGTATGGAGAGTAGCTGAAAAGTACGAGTCAAAGGACACAATATACCTCTTCTCAAGTACAGCTATCTCACAGTCTGAGAGAAACGAACTGAGTCAATATTTGTGCTTTCTAATTCACTAGACTCAGGTTTCTACTTGAGTATTTTTCTCACACGCGGGGCCCAGGTACATCTTATCGGTTCTACCGCTAATATTTCTGATGACTCAATATCAGGAATATTTGAATCCTAATTCTAAGCCCAATATTGATATTCGATCCATTGGTACTACACAATGCGATTGTGTCCTGTGATATGGCGACTGATATCACTGTCTCATGCTACTAGTTCTGAGTCCCGGGTCCAAAACCGGCGGCATCGGAATCTTTATCTCCGATGGCATCTGAGGGAGAGATTTCCAGGGAAGAACCGGAGACGACGGCCGAACTTCCCGAGGCAGGAAATAACTTCGAAACCGCTATAAAAAAGTCAACATATAAAGGGTATAGTGATACTTTTATACTGACGAAATATTGACATGGTTATTGATAACCTCCATGCCGACCAAACACCAGAGTCGTCGCCAACAACATCTTTCACCGGAGCAACGGGTCGCCAAGATCTCGAAGGGACTCGTAACAAACGTAAAGCCCAGGCGCAGACCCAAGTAGCTCGCGAACAGCCCCACAGACACTTTCAGCGAAACGTTTCAAAAACCAAGCTAACTTACGTACAGCACCACTTGCCCGTCACGAATGTCGTCAACGAGGTGAACAGTAGTCGCCGCTTAGTAACGCTGAGTCATCCGGAGAATGACTGGCGGCATATCACATTATGTCGACCCATCAGGCTGAGACCAACAGGACGAGCGCCTCAGTAGCTCCACAGGAAAACCTTGAGCAAGGGCAGACGGGGGAAAGTCCCTGTCAGCGTCGTCGTCAAACCAAAGCTAGGGCACCCTTGCAACAGCAACTGACGCAATTACTCATGAAACAACAGCAGTGGAGGGCCAAGTATTAGTAACGCCTCCAGACCACCTAACAACAGGTGGTGGATGCTTCCGTAGAACGTGATCAGGCGATTGAATTTCGTATCTCTGGCAAAGCGGCGGCACGCCACGGGTTGGGCTATCATTCAGCTGATTATCAATCCGTTGTCGAACAGTCGTCTCCTGCTTCAGCACCACCATCGCTGCAAGAGCTCATTCATGCTCAACACGAGTGGAACAGAACCCTCACGGGCAAGAGACTTTGGAAAATCATTGAGTACCCATGAACTCCAAATTGACAATCAGCACCAGAACCAACAGTTTCAACAGAAGGCCTTGAGGCCAATGACCACGGAGCAACAAGCTCCAACGAGTACGCATACAGATAGTACAACGGTCAGATCGCAGAAATTAGTCCCAGTAAAGACCCTGCCGCCGACCAAAGAGCATCCCGGCCGACCGAAGAGCATCCCGGCCGACCGCCAGAATTTGCTTGCTCGGATGTTGCGGCTGCCGGAAGAGTTATGTAAGGCAGTGGAGAAGGATAGTCTTATACGGGTAGAGGCTCTACGAGGTGTCTTGGAAACGTTGAGAGCGACGCATGAGCCACGACCAGTGGGAAGAAGGAATCGTGTGAACACCTCAGTCGGCCAGAATGGCCGTCGAATCGGTACCAAATCAGTAATATCAGTAATTTATTAGTACGGGGTACAAGGCGGGCCTTGCTCGAGACTTTGAAGAACGCCCATATTTCAGGCTTGGACGGAGCTTGGAGTTTGACATGGTTTTATTAGGTTCTAAGCCATTTTAATACGAAGCACTCGGCATTGGATTACATCAAGACGAAATATCAACGGCTAGTAAATTGAACACTAGAACTACAGATTATCATTATCGTTCTCAAAAGACACAAGCTACGGTCGATCCAACCTTTTGTGAAGTGAAGGTTCACGTTAAGCTGGAAAAAAACATATCGACGGGCCAATGAACGGAGCAGGAATGATAGGAGTTTAAGCAATCACTCTTAAATCATTGTATTGTCCAATTATTGGGTGTTTCTATAAGAACCCAGACATATGAGCGTACCCTCTAGTTACTTCTAACCTAGAATTTAATGGAGACACGCGAACCTTTTTTAACTACTTAGCCGGGACATTTAAAAGGCGCAGGTACGTACAACAGCATGGTTGACGAATCGCGGCCGCATCATGCGAACGGGGATCGCACAGCTCATACCAATAGTCTCCCCAATCCACAGACTATTCAACGCCAGCAGTGGCAATGACAGGCACGCCCGTCGATGTCGACACAGGCAATTGTCTGTGCTGGATGCCAAGCACAGTCACCACCACTAAATACAGAAGTATAGGTCAACCGCAGTCAGGAGCAGAGGGGATTCACCCACGCACGAATGACCGACCTCGTGCCGTAGCCAGTTACATTTCCAGCAGCAACTTCTCAAGTCAGCAGGATTACAATGGGGCAGCAGAAGTAGTCACACCGAACGACTACAGAGGTGCACATAAGTTCTATCCTGACTAGGTATTATGAAGACTCTGACCAGCATGACGCATCAACGACATAGCCAACATGGTCGACAATCGAAGACAACTAATGAGGTGCTAGGGTGTCGGACAATGTTACGGTAGCATTAGAAGTATTTACAATCCAAGACCCATTTCTCAAGACGACGTTAGTTAGATTCGTGCGTTAGTCGACACTGGAGCGAATCGCAGTGGCATTTCTACGACATCCGCAGACAACCTTGGCTGACCATGAGAGACTACAGGTCTCAGGCCATATTTTACAGCAAGAATCGATCTTTGATTTATGGAAGTCATCAGAGTTAGCTCACTCCTGAGAGCTAAGTCATCAGAGTTAGCTCACTCCCGAGTGCTAATCAAGTTGTTTAAATTACTCCCAAGAGTTGAGTTATTACTTAACCGACATCCAAGACCCTCCATTTTGCGTAGTATCTCGCTTATCTTAGGTAAG